CATGCATGGTTGAGAAATCCTTTACTCTCCCCTGGCAACCATTCAGATGTGCAAAATATATGAGTGGACCTAGCTCCGCTTTCGAGGCACAGTTCCTCCTCAGAGCTGCCATTTCCAATACTGAGCTTCTGCGATCCCCCCTCTCAGCTCCTTCAGACTAGCCAGCAGCAATTAGCAAACATCTGGTGTAACTGCACATCAGCTGAGCTCATCATACGAGCTATGTATCAGTGAAACGCTGGTAAAAACATTAAAGGGTGAATAAAGGAGAGAAGTTGTGATGATGGTATTAAAATTGGGAGTTTTTTTGTGTAAAATTAGTGTTTTGTTAATCAGTCAAAGCTTATAAAGTATTTTGTCATATTTTAGAACTTACTTTTAAAATTGCTTAAATTTTCCTGTGGGAAAACTGTACAAACATTGAATTCAGCTCTATAACTATGGCTGCCGTGTCTTTTTAGCTGTCGCTGTACACGGAAAAGTTCGAGGAGTTCCAGACCACCTTGTCTAAGAGCAACGAAGTCTTCACCACCTTTAAGCAAGAGATGGAAAAGGTGTGGAACCTCAGCAGAGATGTTACTGGAGTTATTTCCACCGTTTTCTAACATCACTCTTTGTTTTCGTCTCGCACACAGATGACTAAAAAGATCAAAAAGCTGGAGAAAGAGACGGCAATGTACCGCTCCAGGTGGGAGAGCAGCAACAAGGCTCTGCTGGAGATGGCTGAGGAGGTACAACCCTTTTTATGACTGCAATTATATCAAAAAGAAAGCAATAAATATTAGAGAATTTATGCTTCTTTGAAGGAGTTGGTATTGAAAGCCAGTGATGCCAAAATGTCTGATTGGAGCCCAATACAGAAAATTCTTGCTTGAATTAAGGGCGCGTTGACACCAGCCCTGTTTAGTCCGTTTTAATCAAACTCTAGTTAGTTTGCGTAGAAAGTCCGGTTCGTTTGGAGAGGCATGAATGGGTTATTGAATGACGCAGACTAATAAACCAAACTCTGGTAAACCTAAAAACACAGATCTCTATTTGGTTAAAGTGAACAATGATGTGGTTCGAATGCATATGTGAATGCCAAGCAGACAGAAACCACTCCAAAAGCAGGAAGCGAACTGTAGTGCAAGGCATTCTGGGTAAATGCAACCAAAATAAACATGAGTCTTGCGCTAGCAGGGTGGTGGTCTTTTACCAACAATGAAAGAGAAATCCTACAACCGCTAATGCTTGAACCCACTCCATTTTTGTTTATATTTTGTAAAGAAGAAAGTCGTGCTCATTGTCGTTTTCTGAGGTTTTTGTGTCGTTTCCTTCAGTGGTTATTGGTGCAGCGCCCTCACAGGTGAGGAGGGGAACAGATTTTTCAAAGGGTTTCGTTCGTTTGACACAGTGCAGCTGAAAATGTGACAAATGTTGCAGTATTGTTCCCCCAAGTGCACCAGACTGTCAGGTGTGAAAACACACTTAGATTTGAACTGATAATCAATAATGACCCAAAATACACGGCCAGCGCTTCAGAGATACTATTTACATCAAGAAATATTCATGTCTGAGCAGAAAATCCTGATTTTGACAGATTCCAAAAATATCTGTGTGAAAATAATCCTAGAAGTTGAAAGTACAGCATTAGGTGTTGGCTGGCTGACGGGTATTTTTCTGTGAATGTCTCCAGAAAGCTGTGCGGGACCGGGACTTTGAGGCGCTTCAGGGTAAAGTCCAGCGGCTCGACAAGCTGCGGCGGGCGCTCAAAGTGGAACGAAACGAGCTGAAAAAGAAGGTTCAGAACCTGAACGGGGACAGCGGCGCCGGAGGGGCCCCCGCCTCCGACCCCGGGACTGACTCACCCTCCCCCCCACCCACAGACTCTCTGCCGGAGCCCAGCAGCTGTCCCGTCGCAGACTCCACTTCCTGTCACTGCAGCCCGCGGCCAGACACAGACGCCCTGCAGGAAGAGGCGGGGCCCCCGCCATCTCTTCCTGCGCTGGAATGAAGCAGGGGCCGCCTACCGCTTCCTCCTGCCCCCCTCCACGTTCAAACCACCAGCCTGCAAGCCGCTGCTCCTCTTCTGGAACGACAACAGTTAGCTTCTAACAGCGCGGTTAGCTTGTGTCTTTCCACTCTGTCCACTCTCAAGACTCAGCAGTTCCTCCGAGAGGATTGACAGTAGAAACTCGTGATTCACTTCAACTTTAGGGTGTGAACGTGCAGCTGGTGTTAATATGTCGACTAGAGCAGGGCTTAAGGAGCCGTTTGTGTCGACACAAGTCAAACTGGTTGTTGGAGAGAAGAGGTTGTTAGCCTGTGTGTGTGTGTGTGTGTGTGTTTGGGGTTTTGTCTTAGTGATGGTGTAATGGAAAGGGTTTCGTTCTAAAAGACACTTAAACATTCACTTACTTACTTTTTGTGCGTCACAACATCTCTAACCTGGAACATTCTGAAGGTTCTATAGAAGTAATGAGGGAAATTTTGGGGATCTTTTTCTTTCTGGCCGCATACATTTTTTTTTTCTTTTTTTTTACTCTAGTCCGTTTTTATGGTACAGCGGAGTATTAGGGCCATGTTAAGAAAATTAAGAAATGATAAATAAAATTTTGAGAATAAAGTCGAAATATGACTGTCGTATTATTTCAACTTTGTTCTCATATCATTATTATTATTGACTTTATTCTTGAATATTATGACTTTATTCTGTCATTAGTGTGGCCCTAATACTCCATTGTAATTTCCTGATCACATTCCTTTGGTTTTTTTTCGTTTTCTTTGTTTTATTACATATTTTTTCATTTCATTTTCATATTTCTTCCTGTCTAAATGCTACTTTTGCTTTTTGTTCCTTCTGTTGTTTTTTTTCTTGTGCCCTTTTTTCCAATTTTGTCACATTCCTGTTTTTCATTATTTAAGGTTTTACTAACTCCATAGATCTGTGCTTATTTTGTTTTCCATTAAATTTTCACTTTTTTCTTAGCTTCATGAAACTTTTCAATTTTGTTTTGATTTAATTTTCCTTTTCTTTTGTTTGTTTTTTTTTTTTGCTCTTTTCTCATGGCCCTATTTCTTTTGTAAAGCTACATCTTTACTTTTGTTTTTGGCTCCATAGGTTTGTATTTATTTTATGGGTTTTTTTTGTATGACACTATACATATATATTTTCTTTCATTTAGCCCGCTTAAATTCCAAAATCAGATTTTCCGCTCTTTAATCTTTTGAAGTGATCCCCTCTGATGCTTGTATTGCCCTCTCCCCCTCTTCTTTCCTAATTTAATCTGCTCTCAGTTTCATTTAGAATATGTGAAAATCACTTTAGAGTCCATTTAACTAAATTTGCCATTACTGCGTCTGGGATGCGTCTGTTTGTCTGTTCCACGCTCTGATGATGGCAATAGCTTGTAATCAGGTTTCAATCAAGAGAATGTTCAAGTACCTCTATGCAACGCTTGCATCTTGGTTTTATTCTAAGGCAGTCTCAACTGACGAGCACTTAGCTTGAATGTATATTCATTTATGTATGTATATACTTTAAAACTCGACTAAATGCTTCATAGCAGAAGGCCTTCTTGTGGGATAGGGGTCGATTTGGACCCTTAACGTAGAGCTGCTCTCGTCGCCTGGGTTTGAGTTATACGTCGCATCTTTCTGATGCTTTTGAAAGGTGCGCTGACTGAGCCAAATGGGGGGGAAATGGAGTAATATTTTTTTTCTTTTTTACTTCTGAAATGTTTCACTCACTAACATGCCAGTTTCTCATCTGTATGACTCATGATTATGAATATGTAGCTATGGTAAAGTGGTGACAACTAAACCAGAAATGTCTAAGCTTCCTTTCTTCCATCGTTCCACAAAGGCGCATTCATTGTTATTCACTTCATTTGGGCATAAGAAGGAACCAAAGATGTTTCCTTTTGTCTTTTTTGCAGTACTTTTATCTGACCCTGTATATTTTTCTTGTTCAATAAAAGAGCAGTGTATGTTTGAGTTAATCAATGCCTGGTTGATGTGTTTAAAACTGACTGAATTGGAATTCACAATCCTGCATGCAGTTTTACAAGCTTTTTTGTGTGGTTCCAGGAACTGATGGTCTGACGGGACACCCCCATCACTTCCCTGTTGCCCACCTTTGTACACAATATGGAAAGAGTTTATTGTAAGAGCAGTACATTGTCATAAAATATTAAAGTGTGGAATCTAACAAATATTTAATCTGTTTTGACAATGATCAGATGCATTTATTCCTGTTGCTTTCCTCTGAAGCATGTAGACATGTTTGTAAAAATTTCCCCAAGATGTCCACACAGTAATTAATATGTATGGAAGTATTAAGCAACAGTACAACATAAAGTCGTTTTTTTGCCACTATAGTGGCCTTTATTTGTCTAAGTTGATAGGAAGAAGGGCGTAGAGGGAAATGAAGGACATGGGGCAAATGGGAATTGAACCCGCGACAGCGGACTAAAGCCTGGGTTTGGTTCACTTGCTCCCCCTGTGACCCACCTGGTGCCCCGGGTTGTGCTAACACGTGTTAACAGTAGGGGGCGCACGATGTTGCTTTTTGACACAAGAGTGACGTCTATTTCCTTTTCCGCCGCGGCTCCGGCGCCTCACACACGAGTGTTCATCTTTTCTCTGTTGACGTGACGCCTAGTGAATAAACCGAGCAGACTGACAGCGCTTAGCCAGCAAAAATGGTGAGTATATTTACCAAGAAACATATTCCGACACTTGGTGTCTTATTTATTTTTTCATTCTGTATCTGCCAGCGTTAATTCGGCTAGCATTAGCTTAGCTTTGACGCTAGCTGCGAAAGAGACTAGCTGCTAGTAGGAGTAATTATAGTTGGGCAATGGGAGATGTTGTCACACTGTTGCTTAGCGGATTTGTTGAGCTAAATGAACCTTATCTAGCTTAAATACACACCCTGTGGTAAAAGGCTAGGTCTTATGCTAAACCGGGTGTTCTGTGTTCCCAGAAACCCATTCTACTGCAGGGCCATGAGAGGTCCATCACTCAGATAAAGTACAACAGAGAAGGAGACCTGCTGTTTTCCGTAGCCAAAGACACGGTGAGTCCAGACTTGTGTTGCGTTCGTGTAACCTCCGTAACTTTTGGGATAAAGCTGCTTCATCTCATTTAATGTTCCACTCCAGGTAGCCAACGTTTGGTACTCCGTGAACGGAGAAAGGCTCGGCACCTATAATGGACACACTGGAGCGGTGTGGTGTGTTGACTGCGACTGTATCCTTCCATCATCAGGACCTCCTTCTACGCCTCTATGGGCTCTGATGGAGCATGTTATGGCTGTATGCAGGATGTGACGTTTAGTGTTGCTTTCTTAACTTCTCATCAGGGGACACCAAGAATGTGTTGACGGGATCAGCAGACAACAGCTGTCGCCTGTGGGATTGTGAGACCGGTAAGCTAGCAAGGCTAGCATTCCTCCTGGATGCTAAAAGCTAACATAAGGAAACCCTAGAGGAGTGTGACGTCTTCTCTGGTTATTCCTCTCCCCTCCCCCAAAGATGAGAGAAAAGTAAAGGTATGGTTACTTTTACTTTTGTAACACCCTGCCTGTCTCTCCCGCAGGTAAACAGTTGGCTCTCCTCAACACCAACTCTGCCGTCAGGACGTGCGGCTTCGACTTCAGCGGCAACATCATCATGTTCTCCACAGACAAGCAGATGGGCTACCAGTGCTTCCTGAACTTCTTTGACCTGAGAGATCCACAGCAGATGGGTACAGATACACGGTTATGTTTTCCAATTGGACTTCACCAAAACAGCATCTAAACTTGATCCTCAAGGAGAATGTGACATACATAGGTCAAAGCTCAGGATATTTATACACTATATACATTCTAAAGTCAGAGTAATTATCCAAGCAGGAGGCTATTTAAATGATCCATGCTCTTAGGCAGTTGGGTTTATGTAAATGCTTCCTGAGTTTGACTTTGAGTGTTTCTTATTTTCCTGACATTATTTGATAGTGTTGTGAGATTTATTTGACTGTGTGTAATTTCATCTCGCTGTTTACAATTAGTTAAATATTGTAACTGATAGGTTTTTCAGCCCTCTTGCTGCATTGTGCTTGCCAGTTTCTCTATTTAGTAGCATAAATGCTGCTAATATCCAATCCATGTGATCGTTATTAGCAGCAAAAAGAAAAAAAAAAAAAACACTCCCAGACTGATGTTGCTTCAAATAAAAAAGGTTTTTGACCCACATTTACTGTTGAGAAAGAATTCAGATTTTTATTAAATAATTTACAATTTCTACCATTCCTACTTGTGTGTCTGCAGAGGACAACAACCCGTACCTGTCCGTCCCCTGCAGTGAGTGCAAGATCACCAGCGCGGTGTGGGGGCCTCTGGGGGAGTTCGTCATCGCAGGCCACGAGAACGGAGAGATCAACCAGTTCAGTGCTAAGGTTTGACTAACACAACTACGTCAGGCTCTGCCCACCTCTGTAGATACGCCATAAAAGTCATATCATGATACCTACTGTGATGTGTGGCAGTAACAACGTATATCACAGTATGTTTTTGGTATAAAACTTACAATACAGAGAAAAAAGAAGGGAAAAAAATGACTAGTGAAGATGTGGTTTGTCCTCACTGGGCTGTGATCTTTTCCAGTCTGGTGAAATTCTGAAGAAGGCGAAGGAGCATACCAGGCAGATCAATGACATCCAGACATCCGTCGATCTCACCATGGTGATCACTGCCTCCAAGGACAACACCTCTAAAGTGAGACTCGCATTAATACGTTTAAACACATTAATAAGTGTACATTTAAACACTAAGTTTCTGTTGTCCTCTTAGCTGTTTGACTCCAATTCTCTGGATCACATCAAAACATTCAGGACAGACAGGCCTGTAAACTCTGCAGCCATTTCTCCTATAATGGACCATGTAAGACATGACTCTTATGGACTACGGTCAATCTCCTTGTTGTCATGGCGATGTCTGACTAAGCATTTTGTTAAGGTGGTGATGGGAGGAGGGCAGGAAGCCATGGATGTCACCACAACCTCCACCAGGATCGGCAAGTTTGAGGCGAGGTGAGAGTCTGAAGTTATTTTCATGTTTAAAGTTGATAGAAGGAAGAAATATATATTTTTTTGAAGGAGTTATTACTTATATGTGTAATTTCCTGCACTTAGGTTTTTCCATGCTGCATACGAGGAGGAGTTTGGGAGGGTCAAAGGTCATTTTGGCCCCATCAACTGTGTGGCGTTCCATCCCGACGGCAAGAGGTACAGCCTGACTACTAATGCCACTTTTTCTAAAAATACAGAAGAACAACCCAGTAACAAACTGCTTGATGTTCCTGTTACAGTTACAGCAGTGGAGGAGAAGACGGATACGTACGAATTCATTACTTTGACCCACAGTACTTTGACTTTGAGCTGGAGGCGTAACCAAGCAACCCTTCCAGCTATCAGACTCAATCCAGACAAAGGAAAACATCACTCGCCTCCAGTGCTTTGTACTGAACTATAATTATAAACTTAACATTTGCCAGCAGTAATCACATTTAACTTGTAAACTCCAAATCTTATCAATAAAATAAGGTCAAGGAAAGGATGGTTTGTTTCAGTTTTTGTCATCACATATAAACATCCATTTTGGTTTTATAACTGAAGATTAAATTAGAATGTAAATCGGTTTCTTGGTGACGAAAAGTAGTAATCCAGTTTTTTCCCAGTCCTGCGATACATAGATCATTTCGATACTGGCTGAACTAGGAGCCAAATTTATGTCACACACAGTGAGCAACATTAGGTTGTGGCAGCATCAAAAAGACAACCTATGTAACAACCAGGAGTTAGGGAAGCATGTCAGGGGGAAAACGTGAAAAAAGATTTTATCTTGACTGTAATTGAAGCACCAACTCTTAAATTTGTCACCATTTTGGCTCCCAGTGAAAAACACTTGCAAAACAGGAAATTTGTGTTATGGCGACCAATATAACAATCGCAGTACACTACCAATAGCAATGAAAATTGTAAATGTTTTAAGGTCTGAAGAGAGAAATCAGAAAAGATGTTTAAATTTGTGGCAAAACTGATATATACAGAATAAATTAATTTTGTAGCATAAATTCAATATTTGATCCCATCCCATGACATTTAGGTGTAGTTACTCCTAAAACAAAATTCTGCCTTTCCTGACACCACATGGCACTGTCTTTACATTCTTATGCAACTATTATATTACTATATTTGTAATTGTGAACATATACACAAAAAAACAATTGGATCCATTTTCTTTATTTTTTTATGACAAAGATATGATAATGCACATTTCACAAGGACACAACTCCAACCAGCCACACTTTGAAAGCCCCTCACTGGCTTTCTCTACTTTTCTGTAAAATGATACAAAATCTCTAAATAAGTCATTTGCTCAGCATCAGCCTCTTGAGAGGGTCCCACTCACTCGCAAACATAAAAACAGCACAGAAAGGAAACGGGTTCACAGAGCAGATATTCCTGGGAGGATGAGCCGACCGGATTCATGATTTAAAATAACTTAATGAGCAGAGAGTCAGGACTGGTGGAGGGCAGAGACTAAGAAATATGTACATGCTGAAGGTGAGATGATGATTCTAAGCATGCATTCACTGATGAGTTTACGGTAAGGTGGAACTGCTTGCCTAGGGCGGGCTTTTGATGCTTCATAAATACTTACCAATAAAAAAACCAAACAGGAAGGCCCCACAGACAGGCTTTAATCAGAAATCCCAGCATGGAAACAGTTTTCTTATCACAGCAAACCTGATGTCCACAAAGAGCTCACAGGGGTTGGAGGGAATTTTACATCTCATACAGTGGGTGGCAGGTGGGTGGGGTTGACCTCCATCCCATCCACCTGCTGCTCAACTCGTGTAAACAATGGAAAGCAGGTTTGTCTGCAGGAACGAAGGAAAACAGGAATACAAAAAGATCCTCTGGTTGCAGGAGGAAAACAGGAATCTGGGCTGAGGACAACAGGACAGACACTTCTCCCTCAGGATCACTTCAAGTTGTCTTTATCTCCTCTTTTGGTCTGAAACACAAACATAATCAGACATCACATAATGGAATATAATTCATTTGATTCAGTTTCAACACTGTGGCTTACAGCTAGTTCAAAACTAAATCAGAAAGTCACAAGAGCAACAAAAAGTGATTCTTAGTGCAGAAATGTGACCTATTGAAAAATACATCCATGTCACCACATGATCAGGTCTTCACTTTTTGAAGTAAATATGTTAAATAAAACCTTTCAATGACAGCAATAAGTTAAATTACAGCTAAGCCTGTCATGATATTTTAAATGGTTGTGTGTGCTTTAGCTTCTCCCCATGGACAGTTAAAGCTGTCCATGGGGAGAAGCTTTAACTCTGTTCTTACCCAGATGTGTCCATCTTCTCCTCCTCTTTCTCTTCCTCTTTGACTTCTGGGAAACAAACAGAATGTTAACTCAGAAGACAGACCAAAACCAGAGAGTTTCTGCAGGTTTCACTAACTCAAATTTAAGACCTTTTAAACCCCATTGCTAATGGAGTTTAACATCTGTATCATGACTGAAATGTACTAAAGAAAATGGCAAATAAATGAATCACATGGATTGGTAACAGAAATGAAATGAGCAAATGTACAGACAGAACATTGTCCAGTCACTATATTGATATATATTCATCACTGCAATAAGTCGCCTACATACTAGCTTGTTTTCATCCAAACGTTCATCGCTATTCTTTAAAGCACATCAGTCTGACTCTCCTTGTTCTTATTTTCACTCGTTTTGTGCCAAAGACTTTGTTGCTGTGACCATGGTAACCCTCCATTAGAGGCTTTTAGGTCAAAATAGGACATGTGATTAATCTGCATTATGTGATATTAACATGTCAAACTTTATAGATCAATCACGTGTTTAAACCTGAAGCCATGTTGCTTCTCTTGCTCTGCTTTAACTCCACATGGTTACATCATCATCAAGTGTTGCTGCTGTTTGCCACTAAACTACAGGTCTTTATCTCAGGTCAAATTTCTATTGGTTCTACTGTTTATATCATGAATTACTAAAGAGATAACAGGACTGCTCTTACCTTTCTTTTCCTCTCCTTCCTTCTCTTCCTCCTTCTTCACTCTCTTTGCCTTTTTGTGATTGGCTGCGTTCCTGCGGCCGCCACCTTGCCCCTCAGCCTCGTCCTCAGAGTCTGAGAACTCTTCCTCACAGGCTATCCTCTTGTCGTGGGCCCGGACTGCAACACAGACTCTCATCAGCGCCCCCTAACGAACAAATCCAACGCCTGCGTGTGTGTGTGCGTGTGTTAAATCTCTTACTGGAGACGCGTTTGTCAGGGTCCTCCTCGTCCTCGTCTCCACTGTCGGGGTGCGGGGCGTCCTCGGGGATGGCCTGCATCTGGACTCCGGGGGCGTGAGGCAGCATGCGCAGGTTCTCAAAGAGACGCTGCTTGATCTTCTCCAGATACTCGTTGGTGTTCTGGTTGGTCATGTTGGACGGGCTGATGTGCAGCTTGAAGTCGGGCCCAAAGTATTCAAAGTAATCGTTGTAGGGCAACTCGTTGGGGATGGACGAGTCCAGGGCCACAGCCGTCTCGAAGGTCCAGCAGCGGGCGACGTTGCGGATGGTGTAGCCGCCTCCACCCAGCATCAGCAGAGGTAGGTTGAAGCTTTTGATGTACTCCACGCACTTGGCATGGCCTTTAAGAGGAGACGCACACATAGTTGAATTTATAACATGTTAAAGGAAGTTAGCGTCACTCTGAGACGTTGTCTCACCTTTGATGGTGAGGTTGAAGCAGCCCAGTCGGTCTCCAGAAAGAGAATCTGCTCCACACTGCAGAACCACAGCACTGGGCTGGTACATCTCCATGACTTTAGCCATAATCTAACACAAAAACAACATTTAATCAAATGTGTGAACTTCATTTGAGGAATTAAGAGGTATTGAAATGAAAAACAACTCACAGGTTTGAAGATGGCTTCATAAGACTCATCGTCGATGCCGTCTCTTAGAGGGTAGTTTACGGCGTAGTACTTGCCTTTTCCTGCTCCGATGTCCTGCACACATTGAAATGGCTGGATTAACGTTCATGACGTCTTTAACGTGTTGGAGAAACACTCAAGAGACTCACCCTCAGATCTCCAGTGCCGGGGAAGTATTCCCCGTATTTGTGGAAGGAAACGGTCATGACCCTGTCTGTGGTGTAGAAGGCCTCCTCAACGCCGTCGCCATGGTGGATGTCGATGTCTATGTAGAGCACCCTCTGGTGGTATCTGGAGGGAGTACAGGGTTCAGGTTAATGCTGCTTCAACTTCACACAAAGGAGGGACAAATCTGGAGCATTGAGCCATTATGAATACTATTCAATAAATTTAAATAATCCAAATAAATATTTTTAGGTACATTATCTTTATACTCAAATTAAACACAATATAGAAAGAAAGTGGCATTTAGTGGCATAAGAAATAATTTTGGTGATTCTAACTGACTTAAAGCAATAAAAGTTTAGCCTGATTTAACTTCAGATAGTAAGAACATTTTTTGTCTTTTTATAAATAACATTTTCCAAATTTCTTCTTTTAATTGATTGCACTTCATTACAAAACTGTGCAGTTTGGATATAAAGCACTTTCTCTGACTTTATACAGAAATCAATGGCTTTCCAAACCTTGAAAACACCTCAATTAAAGTCAAGAAATTTCAAGCGCCAGGTAAAATTGTCCTTGCAGGCCTCCATCTCTCGCCAAAACAAGTAACCTAAAGTTTCACATTGTCAGATTACAACACCAATCTGACAGAAACTCTAATAACTTTATTTTATTGGGATTTGATTATTTCGACAAACCAGTAGTGCCACAAAACTCATTTTTGTTTGCAAAGCAGCTCAAGACCAAATTTAACCTCAGTTTTCAACTCATGCCAAAGAGTCTCAGTTGGATTGATGTCTGGACTTTGACTGGGCCATTAACACATGAACATGCTTTGACCCAAACTATTATATTCTCAATTCTTTTTTGCAGCAACTAGCTTTTGTTTTCAGGATTGCTGTGTTTTTAGCTCCATGCTTCTTCCTGTTAAACCTGACTGCTTTCCATCATGATGGACATGACGCTGCATGATGCTGCCACCACCATGATGTGTTTAAATGTTCATGTTTCTACAACTAATAGAAACCTGAACACTTGTTTACACTGGCTGCTCTGAACTGACTGAACAAATTAAAGTTGTTTTTACATGTCTGACCAAAGTTGGGAAGCTATTGATGTATTTCAGTGAGCTGTACTTGTGCAGAATAATCAAATCAATTTGTAATTCAGTATATTTATTTAAAAAAAAAACAAATGTAAATCAATTCAGCTGTGTCTCTGGATCAGTATCCTACTTGACACGATATGAAAAACAGAAGCAGCCAGAAGCGGCGGTGCGGTGTTGGACTCACTTCAGCAGCTCCAGGATGGCGAGGACGATGTCGTTGACGTAGCAGAAGCCGGACGCCTCAGACTTCTTGGCGTGGTGGAGTCCTCCAGCCCAGTTGATGGCGATGTCCGTCTGCTGCTTGTTCAGCTTCACTGCTCCAGCTGAAACAAAAACAGAGTTGGACCCAAATGTAAGGAAAAAAACCTCCCTCCATAACGATCTGCAAATCAAGCTAGAAATGATACTTAAGACTATTAGAGAAGAAGACGGATCATCTAAGATGGATAACTCACCGACTGAGCCACCTGTCGAGAGCTGGCAAAACTCAAACAGACCGTCAAAAACTGGACAGTCCTCTCCGACATTAACTGTAAGAAGAAGAAGAAAACAGAGAATCTGACTGAGTGAATATGAGGCGAGCAGCAGGAGACAGTGGAGAAGAAAACTGGACGCACATCTCTGCATCTGTTTGCTGTACTCAGACATGTTGTCTGGACGGATGGACCTCAGGAACTTGATGTAGTCGTCACTGTGGTACTTGGTCATCTCTTCAGCGCTGGCTTTGTGTGGCCTCTGAAAGATGAACAAAAACAAATTTAATTACGACTGACGTAAAGATTCATACAGTCCTGAAAATGTATGGAAAGTATCTGTTAAAGAAAAAAGAATCATGACAGAAACCACAGAACCTTTTGGTTTATGATTCAAGTCAGTATCAGAAAATGTTTGAGCTGTCTGAAGCAGTGACTTAGTTTTATGTCTATAATTTAGCACAGCTTTATGTTAACTTTTATTGAGGGACAAGTGCGATATAAGTGATTATTTTATAGTCTTTTCTTAAGTATCTAAAGAATTGCACCCAAATATCATTGTTATGACAACAAATATTGTTTTATGCTCTTTGTTAATCCAATCCTGGCTTTTTTTCCACCAGCAGTTAAAAACTGAACCATTTGTAGTTTTTATTTAACATTACACTGATGTTGCTGAATGCAATTAACTTCTCATCACTTTTCCATCAAATCAAAGACCTCAACTACCTCCTTTAGCTTTAGCATCCCTACAGCTTAAATCTGTATCAGAAGTGGGCACAAAAGAAATTAAAAATGAACAGAAAAGTCAAATAAATTATTGATGGCAGTGTTTAATCTTAATATGGGGAAAATAGACAGAGACTCTATTGCCTTTCAACCACACATATTGAACAAAATTTTGTTGCAAGACTCCAAAAATAAACAAAATAATAAAAAAAGAAAACTAGTTAAAAATAATGTAAATATATAGAATAAAAAATATATATTAATGTTTTATTTAACCAAATATTCCATCCAAGCATTCATTTGCTCTTGTTTTATTGGACAATGACAGCTGATCAAGTGTAAAAACAAATCTAAAAAAAAATTAGTAACGGAAAAGATTTTGTATTAAAGACAAAAAATAAAATGGGACGATGCAACCAGACGTTTCTCTTTGTAAAGAGCTTCAAGAAACCAAATTAAATGCTTAAGTTAACTATGTTAAATGTCTAGATGGCAGGAAAAAGGAAGTATGCCCTATTGGAGCGTTACATTTATACTCTAAAATAAAAAATAAAAAATGGGAAGAAATTTCTCAAATTCAATATGGCTGCTGAAGAGGTTTCTTAGAAAGACTGTTTCTGATCAAAACTTTAAAGTTTTAGTTGTACAGTACAGATGAGTGATCAAACTGGGGCTGATTCTGTTCTGTTTGACTCACATAGATCTCCATTTTCCTGTAGAGTCCGTAGTTGAGGAGGAGGTTGTGCGTCATGCGGATCCTGTGGGGCTTCATGGGATGACNTTGGCCGTAGTAATAGTTCCCCACGTCACCTGCAGNAGATATAATGGGTAGGTTGGTCAGCAACCAACGTTCTGAGGCTAAGAGAGAATCTTTTTTTTTTTTTTTTGGCAACTACGCCTGTCGCAGTAAATCTAATAATGATTGATTAAAATGAGCTATCACTTTTTTCTCCTTTCTCTCTGTGTTTCTACCAAAAACTGGATGACAAAAGTCTTCAGTCTGGTTTTTTGTTCCCAACTAGATCCGTTTTTAAAGACAATTTTGTTTAGAGACTTCATTAGTCATTGTATTTGTTGTTTCTGACGTTCTATTTATTTTGGATATATTAAATGTTGTCCAGTTCCGTGTTAAATGTTCATTAGAATTTAAAGTTTATTGATGTTTGCTTTATTATGCTATTACCATTATGTTGCTTAAAAATGGTCTCAATAACAATATTATTGTTTATCACAATGATTTCTGGGACAATTTATCGCCTAGCAAAATTTGTTAGACACAAATCCATCAATCCATTCATACATGAGTTGGTGTTTTATTTTATATTCTACTCACTGTACTGAAAAGAAACATAATTAACTTTTTTAGATACTGAACATCATGAAGTATCCAAATCAATTTATGATTTAAATAGATTTATGAAGTGTTGCAAAATTTGGGTTTCATACCAGCAAAAAGTTTTACATATTTTTGGTTATGACTACATACCAAAAAATACAAAAGAACACATTTTTTTTTTTTTTTTTTTTTTGCGTTTTGAGGCTGTGCATAATAGTAATCCAACACTTCCCCTTCCTATCTTCGGTCACCTGGCTGAAAAAAAACACCTCTTTACAAGTATTTCCAACTACAAAACCCCCCAAAACAAAACAAAATAAATGTATGGAAACCAAAGGTGCCTGCATTAGGAAAAATAAAATTATGTAATGTTCAAAATACTTTCCAGCTAAGCATAGTCAATGCACGCCGCCTCTTGAAACAAATCCAAGGGATTCTTGCTACTGTGATACAGCGCACACCGATATCGCAAATCTGATTCGATTTATCGTGCAATCTCCAATATTTCAGGAAATGGGTATCTTACGTGCACATGAGTATTAAAATGCGCATCCAAATGAGATCCATCTTCAATTATTCATGAGCATCCCGAATCATGCGTTCACACGACACAATGGGAATACGGAAGTAACGATCAGATGTTTCGGTACGAACAGGGCTTTTCCACTTATTTAAAAAAACTGGCTTCAAACGATCAATCATAAACAGGACAAAAATGCAGTCGTCAGCGCAAATGCAACACTGGCGGGGTTAATTTACAGTTTAAAACAGCAAATACGCAACAGTACAATGACAGGCAGTATTAAAACGATACTTATTCCCAGTTTAAGTATATAATATATGGCTTAATCTTCTCCCAAATCCTTTCGGAAGATGAAGCGAATTAAAGCAGCAGAGTGCATCCTTCCTCACTTCTCGGAAGTTGTTAGCGAGTTGGAGGAACATTGTGTGATTATCACCGCATAGCTTCATCTCCCCATTTATCATTATAGTTCTAATGCACAAATACAACCCCCATAGGAGGCTTTAATAATTTATGAAAAGTTGTTTTAATATTGAGTGACCAAAAATTAAGCCGAAGAGACAACAACGTACTGGGTCCGGAATTCGGGCTAATAGCTAGCACGGCTAAAACAAGCTAGTTAGCAAGCTAACGTTAGCTCCCCAACACCGGCTTCAGAGCTGGACCGCGCTGCAACACTTAAAACCCTGACACAGGAAAAATAAAACCCCGAAGTTTTACACGCCGTTTACGACATTTGAATACGAGAGCGAGTAAAAGGTCCAAATGAAGTATTTACCGTCATAATAATAGCAAACTTTTTTCTTTGTTCCTTGAGACAGCGCCATTTTACACCGGTTACCCCACTGGTTCGCCCGCTTGCCGGGTTCTCCGTTGCAGGGGGGAGGTCGCGCGGAGCTCCTCTCAGCCAATCACACAGCTCACCCGCCTCAGTGGGCGGAGCCGGAATGCAAACCGAGGACCACCGAGGAATCAGCTCCAGACTAAACAATGGGTCTCCACCTCTAATGATCTTGAATATTTTGCAGAACGCCTTCAGTAAACCATCTTTTACTGATATCATTTTACAGTTTTCAGTGATTTTGAAAAAGTATTTATGCCTATTAAGCTTTTTCAAACTTTGATATAATTAATCAGGGTTTTATTCTACAGACTAACACAGCAATGCAATGGTTTGCAAAAAAAAAGAAAAAAAAAAAAGAATAAAAGTCAGAAAACTTCAGAAGTAATCTATTGTTTTTTTAATCGATGGTATCCATCAAGGGCCATTCTTCCAGGACTGAAATCGTGCAAGGCCAAGACCAGAACCTCCAAGACAGAGGTCTAATGTTTAGAGTTTGACTAATATTTCTGTACATTGTTTGTTTGTTTTTGTATACCACAAATGCAAAATTAATGGAAAAACTGAATCTAAGTTATTAAATGGAGCCACACATTGTTACATAGTCAGGATCCTGAAAACCTGGAAGGTTAGTCAGCCCAGAAACAGATACATCTTCTCACAATAGTGAAATAATTATTTTTTGTGTAATTTTTAACCTTTCAACACACAAGTAAAAAAGAAAGACAATCCCAAAAACAAAATAAACAAAAAGAAAAAGCAAAATAAAGAGAAAACAACTAAACTAATTTAATATTCAAATGGGGTTGAATATAAAAGTATGGCATACTTTTCAGATTTCTTTTTCTTTTAATCCTTCATTTTCCACTTTACATCTGTCAGAACGATAAGACAAAATGTGAAAACATTCAAGAGGAATGAATCCATTCATAAGGTATTATAAAACCAAAATTATTAGTAGGAGAAAACAAATGTTTGGCCTTAAAATTAAATAAACGCTGACAAACCTATTCAAGCATATTGTGGGAGAAAAGAACATTCATTTCAATTTAAGAATTGCAGGGAAGACCGAAACGGGAGACTCCACCTCTACCCATCAAATTCCCATCCAGTTGAGTTTACTTAATAATATTTCTGTATATTCCTTAAAAGAAAATGACAACCAATCCAACTTGTGTTACAGAACCTGGTACAGATACATATTCTAGACAATAGGTGGCAGTATAGGCCCATGCATGTACGACCCAACTTCCAAACGTGTGCAGACACCTTCCCTGCTGTCTGAGAAATAAAAGCATGGACAAAGTGACGGCCTCACACAGATCACGCTCTGCAAATCAAACAGTTATGCGTAGAAGAGACAAAGCACAGTAAACGGGCTCAGATTGGAGCAGCTATGAATAATTTTCAGCACACTGCCTCCCAGAGAGAGACAGAGAGAGAGAGAGAGAGAGAGAGAGATGGATGGTTACGTCAGCCGGTGATTTGTCTGAAGATTTTACTAGAAAATTAAAAAAGACTTCCTTTTATCTGAGTGTGAGAAACAGAGAAGTCAAGAGGGAGCTCCAGCTTCCAAAATTCCTCCTTTCATTCATTATGGAGGCTGAATTTGAATGCAGCTGCGATCTCAGCACATCATATCACATGAAATAGGTCAGTTGAGCCGGAGTCGGAGAGCCGCGCTCAGCTATCCATTTTCAGGAGGCTGCTGGCCGAAATCCATCGATGTAAAGAGGGTGGGGGAGGGGGGGTGAGAGGAGGCGTCGCAGAGAAGGGGGGACAAACACAAGGGGGTCAAGAGGTCAGTGGAGCTACAGCATCAGTGGTGAAGCCTTCACTATTCACTGCAAGCAAATAAATGCAATTTGAACAAAGATAAATGCAAGTTAAATGGAACCAAATACGCTAAAG